CAAAGGCTCCTTCTACTCAAGGGTCTGGCTTACAACAGGTTGGGAGACAGCACTTCCTCAAATCATCACACTTCATTAAAGGCTTTCCATCAAAACGGAACAAGGAAAAATCACGGTTAATCCAGGGAGAAAGCGAGAAAAAAACCCAAAGCCCCAGCAGAAACAGCGTCATTCTAAGTGGTGATTTGTCTTTTGATCAGGAACAGACACCCATGAAAACCCTGGATGGGTACATCAGGTTCCAAAACACAAAGTAAATCCCTATCCCAGGTGGACTGCACCAATTTCTTATCAACACCTCAATATTCCCTCATTCTATAGATTCTGCCACGCCCAAGGAGAACCACAGGGTATTAAATAATTAACCAGCCCTATTTTGCTTCATGCCCTACATTAAAGTAGAGCATCCCCCCCATAAGATTTATTTTCTAGCCTCAGCTTAAAGAACAAATGTAACACAGTGGCATTTAGGGATAATCAAGCACAGAAAAAAAAGGTTGGGAGCAAGTGCATCTTTTACTGGCTTCTCAGCTGCAAAGAGGGGAAGCAAAAAGCAAACAGCCCTTAGCAGAGAACACTGGTGATTTTGATATAAATCTCAGTAATGATAAGCAAAACAGATATCCCAAGGTCTAGTTTTCCTAACAGGAAGTCCATGGGATAGGAAGTGGTACACCAAGATACCACTCTGCTGAGTGCACCGCAGGGATGAGCCACTGCTCCTATGAAGTTCATCAGCCACAAATAAGGAACCACTAACACTGACAAAAAATTACTTGGGGAAAACCAAAAACAATTCTTCTAACCCACTGGGGTAATTACAAAAAAAACAACAAAACAAAACAAAAACAAACCAAAAGAAACAGAAGCTGATTATTAGTCTTAGATTAATTTTATATATATTATGTTTTATTTTACTTCAATAGTTGAACTGTTCTTAACTCATGAGCTTTGCTTTGACCCCATTCTCCTCCCCATCAGGGCAGTGGGAGAGTGAACAAGCTGGTAAAACCACTGCAGCCATACAAACTCCAGCAAAATGAAACTTCCAGTTTAGTGAGGTACAACTTCACTGACTCTGGTCATCCTGAGGTTTTTGGCATCTCTATACCAGTGAAGGAGAGAAGAAGGTATTATTTCCTTCCCTCCCTCTGCCCAGAGCAGTCCTTCTGCCTCCAGAGCACTCAGAGCAGTTTTGTGATAGTTCCAAGGACCTTCTGTTTGCAATTTCTGCACTTTCAAACATCATATGTGACTGCTTCGCTATTGGAATGGATTAGATGATTGATCAGAGATGATGGCTCAGGGAGATGCTCACACAACAAGGGAATCCAAGAGACTCCCAACCAAGAGCTTGCTGATTCATTGCCAAGCGCTGATCAGAATAAAAGGAACTACTACAACCATGCTTACTTTTAAGTCTCTTGGCAAAGATTCCTGATACAAACATCAGCCTTACCACAACACCACATCAGAGGATATTAATGTTAACAAGAACAGACCCACTATCTGATATTTTCAAAAAGACTAACACCAACAGGACAACGTCTGTCTAACTGTAAAACATCACATATCACTGCCCTGCCCTAATGAAGCCATAAAACAATGACTGGTGAGAGCACAAGACACTTCCCCACCCTCGCCAGAAGAACTGCAAATTGGAGGAGCGTGTTGTGCAAAGGCTGTGGGAGGAGAGAGGATCATTGCTCCAGAGTGTGAAGGCTGGAATGCAGAGCAACGTTCTTGAAGCTCCATGGAGAAACAGGAAAGCCTGTTGTGACCCTCCACACAGCCTACTCCACACTCAGTACTGAACTCTGGTTTTAAGACAGTAGTCACTGCTACAGACACCAACAGGGCTTCATCTCAAGATTTAGGGAGGTCAGCACCAGCCTATGAGCATTCTCAGATCATTATCACACCACACAGTTCAGGTACTGTGCTGGAGAATCTCATGAGGGTGAGTCTGGGGAAATAACTGGCAACTCTGAAGACTTCACTATAATAGCTCAGTACAAAATCAATTGACTTGCCAACTAAACAGCAAATGGAGACTTTGCCTTCAACAACAATGAAGATGTAACAATGTCTACCACAGATTTGTCACAAAAGAACCTTTCCGGGGTTGTAGTGAGAGAAATGCCTCAACAAACACTAATCCTGCAACTCATATTTGCAGGTTGAGCTATAAAGCCCAATGAAGAATGCTCTTGACATAGTTAGACTTAATTTGTTCTCCCTTTGGATTTGTTCCATACTGACACTCATAGCTCCTGAGGGAAAATAGCTCCTAAGGGAACATTGACTGACTTAGTAGTGTGACAAACTGCAAAGTGCTTTCTTCGGGCTGTCCTTCCTCAGGATTTTCTTAGGAACATACATGTTGCCAAATGCATTTAGGGAGAAATCCCACTTGCCAAGACTCAAACATGGGCAACCTCTGTCCCTGAACAAGTCACCTGCATGTAAAGCACTGAACACTTCTGACACTTTGAGATCTCTCTCTTTGGTTTCTAAGACTACAAACCTGTGGAACTCTGTTTCTGGGTCAGAAACTTCACTGCTAAGGTACATTTCTTCCATGACCTTAAGATTTCTTTTAATTCAGTTTAACATGGGCGGAACTCCAAAGATAATTGAAGATTGCAAGTACAGTAATAAATAAAGTTAATATGTAGCTACAACTGGCAGAGAAGTTTATTTGTTATATAATTTTATATGATAAAAAGCATAGGGTTTTTCTTACAAAACTGAGTATCTACACCAATCTCTATCAGCAGAACAGTAATTTCTCACTTGAAAACTATTGTGGTAAATCTTGGCCTTACTTTTCACATAACAACAACAAATGGCAGCAAAGCCAACACCCCAAGGATTAGAGATGAATAGCTACATTTATGAAAACCTATTCTGGGAGACTTGGCTGCATTTCAACCATGTTCATCTCCCTCCTGACGGTGAATAAACTGGCCAGGTCAGAAATAGTTTCACTGATTTCACTTGGCTCACCAATCATTTCCAGAAGAAAACAGAAGACAAAACAGTGTTTACCAAGGGTGTTAATTTGCAACAAGTGTTAAATTTCATGGTAATTTTTGGAAATGCATGACAGCCAAATACACAGGTAGACTTAATGTGTCTGACCACAAACATACCTCTCATTCCCAAAACTGCTCCAGGACAGAAACTTTCTCGCTACAGCACAACTCTTCTGCCTTTATGTGCCAACACCAGTCGCTCAACAATGTTAAAAATTAAAATGACATCTTTTAAACTGTTTTTCAGGATCTCTACATGGTGGTACTGTTCTACAAGGCAACATTAGAACCTTACATTTGTAGAAAAAGACATCTAAGTGCTGCTTTTAAGTCACCAAAACAAAATGGGAAACTTCCAGAAAACCATGTAGCTGGCAAATTTGATCTTAATGTTGGTATTTCTTTGTCTGACCAAGCAATGCCAAACTCAGCAACTTTCATACAGGTGAGATGTGCCTTTAACCAACCCATGAAGTACCTTCTGTGTGCAACGGGAGCAAGTAACAGAACTTCTGGAGTGTCACAGAGTGATCCTGCCCTGAATATCCACAGCAAGCATCTGGTGACACATCAGTAAGTCCTCTCTGTCAACACCATGACACGCAATGGCTTCTTGCAGAGACGATGAAGATTATCAGGGTTCTCCACGTTGTGAGTCTGCTATTGATCAGGTCATTAGGTTGCTATAAATAGAGGTGCCTAAAACATCCTAACAAAACTGTCATAACCTAAAGCTCTCACCGCCTACCACCACACTACAGCACAGCCAGAGAACTAAACATCATTAAGTGCAAGCTGGGTACTGTGGGTTGGATTACACTGACCGCTGAAAGATTCTCTCCCAGATGAATAGTCCCTTTCTCCCGGAGTTATGGAGAAACCGATAGTCTGCACGTGCTGCTCTTACCCGCAGGTAGGAAAACCACCTGTGCTTTAGAGAGCAGGGAGAGACACGAGGAGCAGACAGAACAAAAGCTGCACTTACTTTTTTTTATATATACTTGTGCATCAAGTTGTGTATTTGGAACTGGTAAAGTGACTGTGCAGCTAAATCACCTCAACATCTGACTCACAGCACTCGGTTGAAGAGTTCAGCGATCTTCTCCTACGGACAGCAGTAATTCGAGCGGAATTTTCCTAAACCACCATCAGACTGCGGAAAACCGCTTTCCCTGACTACACATGGCTCACCCCACAATGGAAGAAAGAAAAAGAAAAAAGAAAGAAAAAAAAAAAAAAGCCAGACTTGAAGGTTTTCAGCATCGCTTTCGCACAGCGAGCGGCCGTGCTGCAGTGCCCTACCTGGCGGCCGCAGGTGCTCCGTCACCCGGCTCGCCGCACACCGAGCCCCGCGGGGTCGCTCCCTTACGCCCCGGGGCGCGGATCGGGCTCTCCCCGGCGGGTCGCGCCCGGCCAGCCCGGCGTCGCCCTCCGGTTTTGGCGGCAGATCCCGAGCCAGAGCCGCTCCCCGCAGGCACGGGCAGTAACAAAGCCCCGGCACAGCCGGCGCCGGGAAGCGCTGGCGCGACCCGCAGCCCACGAGCCCCGCGGGGAGCAGCGGCAGCCCCGGGGCTCCCTCCCCCGCGCCGCGCCGCGGTCCGGCTGCGGGGAGCCCGGCCGTACCTGGCTGCTGCTCTCGGCCGGCAGGTTCCTCAGCAGGATCTTGCGGCGGTTGCTGAGCTCGCGGCGGGTGCTCTCCAGCCGCCTCGCCACCTCCTCGGGGCACAGCGGCGGCGGCTCCGCGGGCAACCCCGCGCCGCGCTCGGCTCCCGCCGCCATCTTGCAGCGAGCGGGGGGAGCGCGGGGCCGGAGCCGCCCTCGCCCTGCCCCGCCCGGGGAGCCTGAGGAAGCCCCCGCCGCCCACCCCGGCAGGGCCGGCCCGACCCCCGCCGGGGCCGCGGGGCCCCCTGAGGAGGGAGGGACGCGGGGCAGCGGGGGGAGGCTCCAGGCGAGCTTGGCGCTGTCTGTAACGGAGCTCCCAGGGGTGTATGCGGATAAAGGGAATTTCACAGAAGCACAGGATGCGTCAGGTTGAAAGTGACCACAGTGACTCGTCTGGTCCCACCTCCCTGCTCCAGCAGGGTCATCCCAGAGCACATGGCACAGGACTGTGTCCAGAGGGTTCCGGAATATCTCCACTAAGGGAGACTCCACACCTTCTCTGGACTATTTGTTCAGTGCTCAGTCACTGCACAGCAAAGAAGTTCTTCCTCATGTCCAGGTGGAACTTCCTGGGCATCAGTTCCTGCCCCTCGTCCTGTTGCTGGGTACCACCGAGCAGAGCCTGGTCCATCTTCTGACACCTCCCTTTAGATATTTATACACATTAATGAGGTCCCCTCTCAGTGTCACCTCTCGAGGCTGAGCAGCCCCAGCTCCCTCAGCCTTTCCTCGTCACAGACATGCTCCAGTCCCTTCATCTCCGTAGCCTCCACTGGATCTGCTGCAGGAGCTCCACATCCCCGCTGTCCTGAGGAGCCCAGAACTGGACACAGCACTCCAGATGTGCCTCACAGCGCTGAGCAGAGGGCAGGATCACCTCCCTGACCTGCTGGCAATGCTCATCCTAATGCACTCCAGGATTCTGTTGCCCTCTTTGGCCCCCAGGACACACTGCTGGCTCAGGGGCAGCTAGTTGTCCACCAGGACCTTCTCTTCATTCCACCCCCACAGTAACACATCTTCAGATGGATTTTAGGGAACAACTCGAGTGCTCTGGAGGAACGTTGGGGCTCTGTTATGAGAGAATTGCCCTAAGATCCATCCTGATGGAGGCCAAGACCAGGGCACTGTCCCTCTCCTTCACTGAGGCTCGATCTGGGTCACCTCACCCAGCAGGAATCATTCCCCAAATCCCCATCACTGACACCTTCCTTAGGTACTGATCCACCTGAAGGACTGAAATATGGATTTACAACAAAATTGAGCAGATCCTACAAAATCAGTTAGGTTGGGGAAGACCTCTGAGATCTAGTCCAACTTCTAATCCCGAATGAACCCAAGTGCTCCATCAGACGTCAGGAGGCACAATGGCCCAAGATGATCTTGTCCTAATTTCATTCTTCATCAGAAACGTACCAAACTAATTAAAATCCATCAAAATGAGTAAACCAACACCTGGTGGCCCAAGTCCCCCTTGTGTGGCACAGCCCGATGTCCTGGTGGCTGGGCAGGCACAGGGCTGTGACCTGTGATGAAAAGGAGCCCAATGTCCCAAGAGAAGGGCAATATTTCTGGGAATCACTATAAAATAAGTTTTCCCATCTATGTCTGTAGAAACATTTCAGTATGTTAGTCAGCACTCCCTTTAAAAAATAAAATAGACTGTTCTGTTGGAAAATCCATTTCTCCTTTAGCACAGTTACTCGTTTGTCATTTACAATACAGTAAATTTAGCTCTAAATGTTGTCATCATTGCTATAAAGGAATAAAAAATAATTTAAATACTTGTATCCATTTTTAGACATGAGGCCGACCACAAAGAACAGGGAAAAGAGAATCCAGACCTGAAAAATAATAAGTCTGATAAAGGAAATTGTAAAAAAACGTGGAGTTAAATTGAGTGCATGTGACTGAGTTCTTATCACGAAAATCTAATTCTGAAGGATAATTCTTGATTAGGTTTAAAGTGCCATTTCAAAGACATAATTATCAGTTGCAGATTAAAAAACTCCACCAAATAAGTGGTTTTAGAAATTGCTTTAGCCCAAAACAAAGCAAGTTAAGACTACGAAGTATCTTGGACCTTTATTAGTTCTAAAATTAATTTAAAACTACTGAGCAAACAATAATCAAAGTACTTTTTGGTGTATTATTAAAAAAATTGTCAGCTGACAAGCTTCTATTCAAAGGATTCCTTTTCTGTGATTTTTTTAACAGGTTATGTCCCTCCTCCTTCAATATTTGCATTCTTTTTAATGCACTTTTGGAAATCAGAGGTGTGCAGGACATTTGTAAAGAGTTCATGTGTTTGTCACAGGAGAATTTGAAAACTGCTAAATTCAGCCTGTCCTGAACAATATCAGCTTCACCTTCAAAATTAAACCAAAACCAGAAAAAGTTATAATCACAAATTATTAGTGTGAGATCTGATATAAAGATAATTTTGTATTTTTAGAAAACCAAGATTTTTACAGGTCACCATTCTTTGAGAAATGTGACTGAAAAATATGTATATACCTGCTATTTTTAAAAATTTCAGGTGAAGATATGCATTTTAAAACTATGACATACCTGCTAGTAACTTTACGAACTGATTTTCAGGTCAAGCGATGAAATTGAAGTAGAGATGCTATAAACTGTCTCCTCAAAACCTGTCTGAAGCTTATCATCAATTATGTGATGTAAATTAATCTAGGATCACAAAAAAGGAATACTCCTCTCCTAGAAATACTGAAGCATGTAACTATCTCCTCAAAAATAGTAATCAGACTAAGCTATTCCAGTGCAAATCACGAATCTACTCAAACATCATCAAATTTAGTGAAGCTAATGAAGGAATTAAAGCAGAATAATTAATTTTACCATTAATTTTTCCAGTTTGAAGGTGGACACTGCTTCACCTGTACACCACTGATCATTAATCCTACCCACAGCAATTACCCTCTCAAAAGCTGCCTTTTTTGGATTTTTTTTTTATGGGCTGCAGGTCCTAAATGAAAGCCAGCAAAGATAAAGTGTGTTGCTAAAAAAAATAGTTCAGAAATGAATAGTTTGATATTAATGGCAAAAATAAAACTCGTGCAATATGATTTGTAAAGAGTTCCAGAGAAACTATAGAAAATAAGAATATACTCAAAGAAATGTAATTTTTTTTTTTGCTTAGAGATATATACTTAAAAAGATTGTATTTGGTAGGTCAAAGTATTAATTTGTTTCTCCTCCTAATGTTCACGTTCTGTTCTGCTTACAGGTGGTTGACATTCCACAAGTCAATAAAGGAGTTGCCTGCACTAAAAGGCAGCTACAAAGTGCTGTGTGAAGAGAGCAGGAAATATCCAGGATATTCCCACTGTCCATGGAGGTAACTCATGAAGATGGAGAAGGAGGTGAGCCACCACCACCTCATGGCACCCAAAATCAGGCACCAATACCCAACTGGCCTGAGGAAATATTCCCTCTTGAACCCAAATATCAGCCCTGTTTTGACCTGCACTACCCTCAAGTAGCTACCTGAAGGATTAAACTATAATTTTAAATATAAGAACAATCAAAATTAGGAAACCATAAAGTAAAATACTTTATATACAATTAAATACTTTATACACAATTAAATTGGTAAGGTTAAAGAGTCGTTGCTAACCCATGCTGTGAGAACTGACACAGGTTAGGGAACCTCTCACACACACCCATGTGCTGCTACACCTGCAGGAGTGGGAAACACCTTCAGGAAGATGCTGAGATGGTGGGACTCAGGATGAAATGCAGGTCTCCAAAAAAAAGAGCTGTACCTGGAGAGAACAAAAGCAAAAAAGCACTATTGAAAAAATAGCAGAACACTCCAGCAGAACAGCAAATGTAACTTTAGTTGTGCTACTGACCTGATGCTGTTACACAGATAAGCCACTTTGTAGTAATTTAATTTAATTTAATTCAATTCACTAAATTCCTTGTTAATTAACCACAGCAGTTGCTCTTGCAGCTCTTCTAAGCTGAAGATTAATTTCCTCCTGCTTCTGCAGCCTTGAAGTCATAAAAGCCGTATATATATATATAAATTTTTATGGAATGAGTATGTTAGAATTGTGTCACAAATGTTCTTTTGGAATTAAAGGTGCAGTCAGGCATCATTGTCCAGGTTGGTCTAGTGGAAGATGTTCCTGCCCATGGCAGGGGGTGGAATGAGATGAGCTTTAAGGACCCTCCCAACTCAAACCACTCTGGGATTCTATGATTCTGTCTTCGAAAGTATAAACAAGTTCAGATCTGTACAGATAAAATAAAAGCCAAAAATTGAGAACATCTGCTGGATCTAAGACCCAGCCTGATGTTCCCATGTATTTGAGATACAGGGAATCTATCTGTGGGCTCTTTAGGTAAGTGGTTGCTTATATGAAAGAGAAATTAAACAATTTTATATAACCTGAAACCACATGGATTGGTGTTTCCTGCAGTGAGGGTGTGGAATCCATCGGTTGCTGTATATTCCATAAAAATCATGGATTACCAGCACCACTTCATGTCAACAAAACATAAACAATCCCATTCTCTTTATACTGTGCCCACTGTTTCCTGCTCCAGCTGCTCCTTTGTTTCATAAAGACACTGAAATTTTGAACCCAACAGATGTAGATTCAGTTGTCAACACCAGTAATTAGTTGGGTGATGATCCTCCAGATGCTCAATCATCTCACAAATGCATACACCAGAGGTGCCAAAACAAGTTCCTTTGCCCATTTTCCCAAGAAATTTCAATACATTTGGCATCTCAGTGCACCATTCCATAGTGCAGTAACATGCCCAAACATGGGATGCTTCTTTACTCCTGCGGTTTTCCTCCATACAGGCACAAAAACACTTCAAGTGACTGTGCCCAGAGCCAAACATTTTCTTTTAAAGTGGAACCTGACGGCTTTTAATTCGCCATAACACTGCTCCTAAGTGTTAGGAATGATGGATTATCTCAGGAGCAGCCTGGTTGGGAACTTCTTCTCAGGTTCCATCCTGTAACTCAGTGGTCTGTGAGTAAATAATAAAGAGATGGAGGAGGTAAGAGCTATAACTTGCAAAGTGAGTAACTATTCCAAGGAAATCATTACACTGGGCCATACTGTAATGGGCTATTTTGGGACTCGTGGTCTTTGCAGTACAATTTATGACCTTTGTTGCCTAAGGCATCATTAGCAAATCTCTGTGGTTGTATTTAAAGGCAGCAAAATGAGAGTAAATATTAAAACAAACCACCACAAATCAAAGCCAAATTCTTGAATAACAACTGAGAACAAAGGAAAAGGAGATCAAACAAATATTTTAAGTACAGTTCTCTTCAATGAATGGCCTAAGGGAACCTCTGGGTTCTCTCTCCTAAATCAATGCCCTCCCTGCTTTAAATCACCATTCTTCCCTCATAGGCTTTATTTTTCTTCATTCAACTTCAAATTTAGTCATAACTTATTGGCACAAAGTGCACTTTGGCAATTTTGCTATTTCAAAAAAATTAAAATGTTCCTTGGATTTCTGGCAAAAGCAAGTACAGCCCCACATTCCTACCCAAAGTATTTTTATTGGCCAGCCCAATAATGTGCTGCAAAGGGTAGTTTCAAACCATTCTGTCTCAGATTCCCTAAAAGGGCCAGTTTTCTAGGAAATGGAAACTGATAGTGATAGTTCACAGGGAGTTGTAAGATCATTTCACATTAAAATATAAGGAAATTATAATAATGGGTTAAAGCATTCCTTAGGGTAAATAAATACATCTCAATTACTATCTCATTTACAAGTCCTTGGATCTGGCTAATTATAAACTTGGAGAAAATTTGCTGTGAAAACTGAGTAGCTGGGATGTCCTGGGAGTGAGCAGCAATTAGTTTGGATAAGATAAACCAGTACATGCTTTATCCCTGCCAGCAGAGGTTGGAATTTCAAACACCCCCACAATATTTTGTCCTTAAAAATGCTGTAACTTATTAAATACGGAAAAACTTGTTAAATATGGAAAACTGGCCTAAAGGAGGGAATGCAAGTGAAACCTTCCCAAAAAATATATGAGATTTTCAAATGTTCTGCCCTTCAGTTATAAAAAGGTTTCCATAGAGACTGTCATCCAATATGCCTTTTTGCCATAAACACACTCACTGAAGTGTCTGACTTCTCCATGTTCATGGGAGCAAAATAAATCCATCCCCTTCCTGTTTTCCAGGTTCCCTGGCTGAGGTTACGGCAGCAACCCATTTTGCCTTGTTTTTGGAGATTTCCTTGGTTCTGCTGCAATGGAAATAAACACTTAACGAGGTTATTATTATTTGCAGCAATTAGATAATGCTGTTTAATTACTCAACCTTTAATCTCACCCAGTTGCATGTGATTTGCATACATTATGCCAAGAGAATTGATATTGGGAGCAAAGGAACCGAAGTGTCAGAATGCTGGAAAAGTGAAAATAAGTGTATTAAAACTATTTGACTGCATTCCCAGTTTCCTGTTCTCGGTGCCAGCTCATCTTGGGGTGTCTGCCTGGTTTCATTACCTCTGAGTGCAGTGGAAGAGTTTTAAAATTAGCAAAATCCATCAGTGTTGGCCAAACTGGAAATACTTGGCACTCTGAGCCAGTTGTTCAAGTGGTGCAACAGTGCCTGGGTTTAGAGGAGAGACAGACCATCAGCTTTATAAGGATGTGGCAAACCCCTTTCTGTGTTCTCTGTGGGGAGCAGGGACAGGACCCCAGGGAATGGCCTGAAGTTGTGTCAGGACAGGTTTAGGTTGGATCTCAGAAAAAGGTTCTTCCCCCAGAGGGCATCTGGGCACTGAACAGGCTCCCCAGGGCAGTGGTCACAGCACCAAGGCTGCCAGAGCTCAGGGAGTGTTTGAATGATACACTGGGGCAGCTGGTGTGACTCTTGGGGATGGTCCTGTGCAGGGCTGAGGGTTGGACTCGATGATCTGTGTAGGTCCCTTCCAACTCAGCATCTCCTATGATTCTATACCTTTTTTCATGCAAACTGCTGGTGAAAACTCCTGACTCAACATTTTTGGAGGCCAAGGTTCCCTTTGTCCGTGGAGCAGCTGTTGCACTCCTGCCAGGTGAGGGGTGAGGTATAAGGTTCCTGCCCTGGCTTTTTGGTCAGCAGTTTCTCTTCCCTGCTATCAATCCTGTTGTTCCATCAGAGACAGTGACAGTGGAGAGCACTTGCTCCAGGAACCTGGTGCAATTGCCAGTGTCAGCTATAAAAACTGACAATTAACCAGAGCCAAGCAGGATTGTTCCTGATGGCTCCCAGTTCCCAGAGCGATCCCATCCACTGCTGCCACCAAGGAAACCAGCCCAGGGATAACAGTGAATTTTCCCACAGCATTTAGATGAGGCCACTCTGAGCTGAAGGCGGAAACTTCCAGATCTAAGACGTTCCACTTCTGCCATCAAATTCCTGCTTCTGTTCTGCTCAAGTCAAAGTGGTATCCAAAGTGGTATCCACTGTTCCATGGGGCTCTTCTCCCGAGGTGGAACCGGTTCTGCGCAGGCTCTGGCACCCACAGCAGTTGTGTTTGGCACCTCACTAACGAGGCAGGGCTTGGAGGACTTCACTCTTGGACTTGAGTGTCGAAATTCCACTGCAGCCTTGGCTTCAGGAACGCCAGCCCTTCTGGGCCAAGGTCCTTCCGTGACTCAGTTCAAGCACAAAGCAGAGAAAATAATTACCTCTCATCGCGCCAGAGGGCTGCAAATAAGGAATATGAAATATTCCATGGCACTTATGTTCCCTTCTCACAGTTTGGGTGCCTGGCAAAGGGGGGGGTTTGTACAGCAAAACAACGCAACAGTTACCGAGTTAACTGCTGTGGGAATTAATATTCCAAACATCACTGACAGCCCAGTGCAGGCTCCTTTGAAAATCCCAGCCATTGCTGGAATTCTCTCTTAAAAACAAATTAAATGGGTAGCCAAGAGCTATGAACACTGCAAATTAATCTTTGCACTTGCAAACAGCCTTTTGGATTACCTGCACTCTCTTAACTTGATCCAGGACTTTTGCATCCTATTTTTTTCTCCCTTTTCCATATTTGCTGCCAGTTTACTCTCATAATTTGTCCTCCGACAAATGCACTTTCTCTCCTCATCCCCATTTCTGGGTCACTTTACAGAATAAAGCCTTTGAAAGCCCGAGGTCTCCTTTTGACCAGTTATAGTCACAACTCTTGCTGCATGTGAACCTCTCCTGAATTCTTATCCATCTTCTCTCTCCTTGCCAAGGGCAAGGGTAAAGATAATATTTCATGGCTTAAGTGGCCTTATAAAATGTTCATGGGCAATTTGTAACAGACTCATCTTTCCAAATCACACTTTTTATCCAGGCAAGGGCATAAACAAATAAAAAATCATCTCAAATGATCAAATCCTCTCAATCCATTTCCAAGCAATGTATTCTGCCCAAATAAACAGCTTCTCCATGGGCAGGCAGCAGGTTACTTGGATATGGGAAAAATCAATATACTTTCAGTGCTCAAACACTGAAAGCATCGAGTCAATTTAACATTAATTATCACAAATCAAAGGCAATTCTTGTTTTCATTTCAAAAGAACCTTTTTTCAACAAGAATAAGAGAAAACCTGCAGGAAATTAATACATCTATGCTGCAAAAATGAAATAAGTGGAAAATTAATGGTTATAAAATCTGAACAGTTATAGGGAAGGAGGATTCAGGGTTTAACTGCTTGTTTTATGATCTTGCTCCTCAGTCAACACAGTAAAATAATGATGGGGAGGGAAGGCCATGGCAGCAACACAGGCAATAAAAATGAAGAGCTATCATGCAGCTTCTTATAATGCTAATTACACCTATTATCAGGTTTTGGTTTAAATGAACAATCATATCTTTCCCAGCATTCCTGCTGGGACAAGGTCAGCTGTCAGCATTTGGAGCTGGGATTTGGCACACCTCTAAATCAGTTTTCCCTGTAATTACTCTTTAACAGCAAGAGCTTTGGCTCTTCTCATGACCTTCAAGTTTAAGCAGAGTTGTCAGACCCCTCAGATCAAGTTTGTATGTCCTAGAGGAAAAGTGACCAAAGAGCAGCGAGGAGCAGCTCCAGAAAAGCTTTTAAGGGAAAAGAAAGGGGGGATTTATTGCTGTGACTTCCAAGAGGTTCTGCAACCTGCTGCATTTCTGGCAGAGCTGCAACAGAACTCTGCAAGCACCTTCTGCTGGCATGGAATGTGAAGAACCACCAAAAAATATCTTCACTGATACAGTATTGTAGCTAAAGTAATTAATATTATGCCATTTTCCAATGTACAGAGTCACAGAACATTCTGAGTTGGAAGGGACCCACAAGGATCACCAAGTCCATCCTTATTGATAATATTTCTGATACATTTCGGTCAAAAATTATTTGTCCCACTAGAAAACATAGCAGAGAATATGCCAGTGTGGATGAACAAACACAGGTTGTACATATACATTTAACAGTGCAGTTTAATTAGAGCTGGACTTAACGACCTGCTTCTCACTATGAATGTGCTCCACAGACTTACCTGGTTGGAATCAACATCAGCACCGGAACAGACCAAGCCAAAGGTGTGTTCTTCTTTCTCTGTTTGTATTTTCTGTGCATGACATAAATTGCAACTGGGGAGCAAATACTTAAGTTGAAGAACTTCATCTGCAGAGTGAAACTCCTTCATCTGTCTGTAGATGGGCAAAATATAACTTAAATTGGGCTTCACCTGCCACAGACACTTCTGTGGTGTGGGAACAGCTTTGGGCTGAATTCCACCTCCTGTGGTTCACAGAGCTGAACTAATAATGTCCTTGCTAGAACTTCCCTGATTTATGCCTGAATTTTAGAGAGAACAACTTTATGAGTTCTACAGGACAAAAAGAATCCACAAAACATCTTGTTTGATGTTCCACTCAAACTCTTATTAAAACTCAGAGGTGAACAGTTTCTATGCTGAAAGCAATTTTCCCTTCATGCTTAAACATTCTGCATCCTGGCTGTGTTTGTTGTTCTTTGTCTAGCAGCAAGATTAAAATCATGCATTTTCTTCTGAAGGCAAACCTGACAAAACAGCCACTTTGTTCACTATCCACCATCCAGGATGATTTTGGACATAAAATTAGAAATTCTAGCAAGCTGGGTCTAGAGATTGACACACAGGGCATCAGATGCAGAGCTCTGAGAGCACAAAGCAGAGCTCAATAGATTTCTGCAGCTGCCTGGTCAGCAAAAAGCCTCCACCTAATCCTATACAAACACAGAATGGCAAATCCAGAGCCACGGAGTTTTCAGGAGCAGATAAGAAAAGAAAACCCTGAAATTCTTGGCTTTGGTGAGTCTGTGCAGTGGCTGACCACTTCCAGAAATGTTCGCTTCCTAAATAATGACCAACAAGCTAAAAAAAAGGGCTTTAAAACTTACATCGATATTGTCATTTATATGTAAAGTTTAGATCTCTCAAGGCTGTTGGTAAAAGTAGAGGAACCTGAGTGAATTTTCAGTCCTGTTACAGCACTTTTTCAGCCAGAAAAGGAAACTGAGACAGAATCATTTCCATGTAGCCACTATTCACAGATCTATACTTTATATACAGTTTATTTCACTAGAGATTTTAATTTTATACATAGTATAAAGGGGTATCCTGGTATCACACATATAGTTATTTTACTGTACTGTTTAAGAACCAATTTTTACATAATACAGTATTAAGTACCATATTAATTAAAACAAGTGATTTTTAAAAAAAACCTACATATAAATGGATGTTTATCATATGCACAGTGCAAGAGTGTTTTTATATCCTCATAATCACAAAATGTGAATCTAAAATACAACACTGATTTCAAACTAATTCATAATTATGATGCCCTGTGTTGTAGACATTGATTAATCTTTGTTTGAATTACCAAGCAATGTTAAAATTCCAGACAAACAGCAGCAGCAGCAGCTTCTCACGATGATTTCAAGATTTCTTCCACAGTAACCCAAGTTTTACAAAACACTGGTTTATCCCTACTTCTGGTCTCAACAGTGTCCTAAAGAAACAGGAGAATGGCACAGATTCCATCTGGGATTATCTGGCAACTAATGCTAAATAAATTCTTTATTACTTCCACACAGGAATCCTTTAAGGATGATCAAAGAGGTAAAGCTGGAGAGATTTATGGGCAGAACTCTCAGAATTTTAGTTATGGAGTACAGGATTTCTCCTCTGCAAATCGGAAGACAATACTGTAATAAGAATCAGGTTGGAATATTTACAGAAAACCATTGTGGAAAAGAAAGCATTCCTAATGTAAACACCGAGTCAGAAAGGACTTCTTCATTTTCCCATTGCAGAGTGGGGCACTGGATGAACATCAGCTAATAAGGAACAGATGTGTCTCCTTTAGAAGAACCACTTCACCATCACAGGATGCATGTGGTGCTTGTTGAGAATTGCTAACACATTTTCTCCCTCCCTCCCCCCAAAGTTTGAAGTTCAATAAATAGTAGAAAAATAATCCTTTACTTAAAAATCTTGAGATGCATTGTCCCAGGTTCCATACAGCAATGTTGGAGCAGGGAACTTTCCACGCGCAGAGAAACCAACAGCCCTCCCCCTGCTCTGTCTGGCACTTCTGTAGCCTTCAGCTGCACAGATTTCTGCTCTTCCAGTTAAGGAAACCAAATCATCTCTGGCTCTTTTAAGCGCTCTCTCTCTCCTCTTGGCTCAGCACAAAGCTCCAGCTGCTGTATAAACTCACGGCCCCGCTCCTGGAGGTCTAACGTGCCTCCTGCTCCATTCCATTCAATGTTTTGGCAGGTCCATTCATCAAGCACGTCTCCAGTTCAGAGCCAACCTTACATTTATAAAAATGTAAAGCTTTGATGCCTAAGTTTACTGGGGAAGTCAGTGAAGTTGTCCCAGGGGAGCAGCACAGCCCCTGAGCTGCTCAGCGGTCCTGTCCCTCGCGCCGTCGGCCATCAGCACTCGGCATCCACAGTGTGTACCGTGACCGCAGCCTGCAGGTGGTGGCTGTGGTGGAGGGTTGGGTGGTGCAACCGGTAGTGGTGGAACTTGTGGCTCAGCAGGGCGGCTGTCTGAGGGGGGGTGTCCAGGTCCAGGTCTTCGTCGTGGTTCCCGACGTCAACGCCGGCCGACAGCGGGTCGTTGTTGCACGGAGGGTTCTCGCTGTCCTCCTGAGGGCTCATCGTGCTGTAGCCTAAGGAAATGGCAGCACGGAGGGTTAAAAGCAAGACTAAAAGGTCTGACTGCTGCACCCTTCATGGAACCAGACGCAGAGTGCTTTACAGAGAGAATAAAACTACTTTCCTTAATAAACAGAAAAACAAAACCAAAACCTTCCCCTCCTGTAAGTCTATAATGGGTCCCTTTCCCTGCCACTGTCTTTGGTTATAAACTTTGGGTCTGTACCACCCCAAAGAGTAACAAGAACCATGTGTTCAGCAATTTGTTACAGCAGAATTGTTGGCACCGATTTCAAAACCAAAACATAAGATACCACCCCAAAAAAATCTGTTAGATATTACCTGGATTTTTAAACAGACAAGAAATAAGTGGGATCCACTCCCACGTACCTCTGTTCCTACCATCTACACCTTTCCTGGATTACCAGTTACTGTATCTGGAAGCACCAGAATCTCTTCACATCATTGTGTTTTATAATCTTAGTATTTAATTTTTAAAAGGATGAGAGCACCTTTCACCTGTGAGGCTCTGTTGGCAAAATCCAAGCACGTGTGTTTAATGCTGGGGAGCTTTCCATACTTAAGGAAATCTATGGAATCCTCCTGGGAAGGGTTTCAAACAGCAAGTCCATTAAGCCAAACTGTACTGACACTTCCCGCTGAACTCATGCACGTGGTGCAATTAACTCAGGGCTCTCTTTTGGCTAAAATATCTGCTACTGGAGTCTAAAAAGTTAAAAGAAACAGATCAGGAGTGGTGAGACATCCATTCCCTGGGATATCCTAAGGAAATGATGTCACTGGAAAGGCAGCTAACAGCTAACCCTTGCAGGCTCAGCCAGGAAACTGTTTCCTAACAGGTCCCTTTCCTTTGAAACAGGTGCTTCAAGTTACTGGGAGATTTGGATTTATCACTGAAACCAGCTATTTCCAGCCTGCAGTACAAACAAATCCACCTCGGTATCTCTAAATGGAGAAACACAAGTGCAATTTAAACGGAAATATATCTTGCTTTAAACAGAAAAATAATCCTTCTCAAAAACTGAGGAACCACTGGTGCTTCTGAGCATCTTGGTCAGGTTTTCAGCTGGAGACACCTAAAAGAAGAGTGTTAAAAATAGCAGGCTGAGCACCCAAAGCTGGCTCTCATTTCCCATGCTCTGAGTCACGGCTTCTAACTGGCAGGGAGGAATTGGGGAAGGAGACTGGGCAGCCCTTTGAAGAAGATGGAATTACAGGAACTAAAAATAGTGGCACACATTTCAGATGGAGGTAGGACAGTTCCCCTGCTGACCCTGACAGGAGGACTAAAAGATGGGAAGGATTTCCTAGGGCTGCAAGAAATGGAGCAAAGGGAGCATTAATCTGGCAAATCTGCCTCAGCACAGGTAATCTGGCCCCAAATCCAGGGTAATTCCTCCTACAGCAAGATTGGCTCACAGACATCTGTTCATCCACATTCCAAGGCTTTGGCCTTTGGATTTCCTGTCCCTCAGCAATTCCATTAGTGCAACCACTGTTTAATACTGGAACAGGTCTGCTGTCACATACTCAGCCACTATGGCTCCCAGCTAGAGGTGACAGCTGTGCAGACTTGTCTAACCCTCCTCTTAATTTCTGTTAAGCCTCCTCATGAGTCAACAGCATTACACCCTTCTAACAGCTTTCCAGATTTAAAGGGACTTAGTCTCAGGGCAGCAGGGACATACCCAAACTCCCTGAACCTAATGGTGATCAGTATTTGCTTAAAGGTGCTGGAAGATCTTAGAATTATGGAATGATTTGGGTTGGAAGGACCTTAAAGCTCATCTTGTTCCAATTCCCTGACATGGGCAGGGACACCTTCCACTATCCCAGGTTACTCCAAGCCCTGTCCAACCTGGCCTTGGACATTTCCAGGGATGGGGCAGCCACAGCTTCTTTGGGCAACCTGTGCCAGGGCCTCATAGGAAACGATTTCTCTCTAATATCCCATCTAAGCCATTCCCCTTGTCCTGTCACTACAGTTCCTGATAAAGGTTCCCTCTCCAGCTTCCCTGTAGCCCCTTCAGATATTGGAAGGTGCTGTGAGATCTCCACAGAACCTTCTCTTCCCTGGGCTGAACAGACCAAGTGTCAGAACTGTTTAACCGTGAAGCAACACAGCAGAATGTTTTTTGTCTGGTTTGAGTTTTGGCTGCCTTATCTGCAATATGCCAGACACCTGAAGGAACCCAGGTCACCCCAGTGATTTCTGTGGGGCCAGGGCAGTGATCCAAGGCCTTACCGTGGTCGCTCTCAGTGCCGGATCGGCCCCAGTAGCGTCGCCGGCGCTCGGGGCTGTGCGCGTGGCGCTCGATCACCGCCGCGATGAACCGCGTGTTGCTGACTGCGGACACACAGACACAGCTGGGCGTAAACCAAGGGTCTCACTGAACAGGGAACGCACTTTCTGTAACTAATTCTTCTGCAGTACTTCTTAAAAGAATCACAGAATCTGCTGAGCTGGAAGGGACCCATAGGGATCATCAAGTCCAACTCTCAGCCCTGCACAGGACCATCCCCAAGAGTCACACCACGTGCCCCAGAGGATCATCCAAACACTCCTTGAGCTCTGGCAGCCTTGGTGCTGTGACCACTGCCCTGGGGAGCCTGTTCAGTGCCCAGCCACCCTCTGGGGGAAGAACCTTTTTCTGAGATCCAACCTAAACCTGCCCTGACACAACTTCAGGCCATTCCCTTGGGTCCGGTCACTGGTCACTGACAGAGGAGGAGTAAAGAGTGGTGTTTAAATGTGGAATAGATCAAGATCTAGCCAAACTCGTTCACCTTGGATTAACAGAATTCAGAGAATTACTGTGCCAATGCTTAAGAACCTGTGACAGCACTGAAAGCTGACTCAAAACAAAACTAAAAGGGACGTGGAGAAGCAGTAGATGCAAGCCATGAAGCTCAGAATCCTTATTTTTCTATCTTTGAGTGTTGACACAGTTTCAAATCTTGAGTATTGTTTTAGTGAGGGCCCAGAGAGAGGAATCTGGTCCGACCTTGGAGCTTTCCTGGAGTTTAGGTGGACCAGCTCAGCTTACAGCATACCAGGATCATGTAAAGTGCCGTTTTGACTGAATGGCAAAGAACTTTGGGCATCCAAAATCAATGCAAAGAAGATTTACTGCCAGGTTTGTTGGCCATACTTGCCAGACTTGGCTTCTGCTTTCCAAGGCTGAACAAGGAGAGGAGTTTTCCATGCCCTGTGCTGTCACAATGGCAATTTTTAAGCTGATCA